TTTTTTTGGAATTGCACGGTAACAGGCTGGTCTAGCAGCCAATGCGCGGCTATCACCCGTAGGAAAAGTTTCCATTGAACTTCAATGGGAATCAATGTAAATTTGTAAATTCCATTCAAAACCATTTAGCATAAATGGAAAAATAATAGTTTCCATTTACAATAATTCCATTAATATTTACATAGAAAACATTTTCATTGATTTCCAATGGGAACCAATGCAAAATTTATAAATTTTAATTAAAACCATTCAATATAAATGGAAAAACAATTGGGTACCTAAAAATGGAGAAGATCTGGTTTGAGATGATTAAAACTTATTAAAAAAATGGAGAAAGACTTGTTAAAGTTAATACGATTGTCAAGGCAAGTTGTAAAAATAATAAACAAGACATTATTTGGAATAATAATTGTCATGTAATTCATATTTTTTTCGTCGAAAAACCTCATATTTCATTTTGATTAAAGAGAATGTCATTTAATTACCACTAACAATAATTAAATGTAAAAAATAAAGAATTGACACTAGAATTTTCATTGGGTTCACGAATGGAAGTTCCAATGGAACGTAATGGAAATCCTATTGCGTTCAGCAATGGAAATCCCATTGAGTTCGGGGATAAGATTTCCACTAGAATTCTAGTAGAAATTCCATTCATTCCATTGGCAATTCTCCATTTATTACCATTAATTTTAACGGTGGTAATTAAATAGAATTGTTTTAATGGAAATAGAATAGAAATTTTCCTTACGGGACAATTTCTCGTATTCTTTGAGCTTTTAGCATACAGAAGCTATGAATTCCTTTAAATACATCAGCTAAAGGATTTATATAAATAAATCGTTGCATAACAAAGCTAGTTGTAAAACTTAATTTATCAAACACTATCATGTAACAAACAGGATTCCCTATTTAAAATAATAAGTTTAGCCTCCGACAAACAGGATTAAATATGCAGCTAATTTAATAATTAAATTCTTATGTATTCAGCATTTTAATTTAATAAACATATTTTATTGACAGTGTAGATAGCATTATAAGTATTTGATTGAAGTATGAATCCTAAAACTAATATATATTTATAGGTAGAAATCATATTTTAATATGCATAATAATTAAACATTATCAGAATAGAAAGCCATTGATGTTTTAATTAATAGAAGTTAATGAAAACGGTTTTATTGGTAGAAAATGGATGCTTTACAAAAACATTTACAAAATCAAACGTTCAATTTATGTTAACTCAAACAGAAGATGTAATTAAGTCTTTAATTCCAAGTTTTATGAATATTTCCATATAACAGCTCGTGCGGGAAAAGTCATTTATTTCGGAAAATATTCCGCTCATTTACCTTAACAAATTTATTGTTTCATCCACAAGTCATACATAATTCTATGTATTTTACCTTTAACATCAAAATTTACTAACAAACTTTTGGTTTGATGTTCTTTAACTCGTTATATGACTGTCTTTCGGGCTTGTCCTATATAAACCTTTCCATAAGAACATGGAATCCTAATCTTGGAGCGTTTGAATATATATTTGAATATAGATTTTATAAAGTACTGATATTGTAAGTATCTATTTGGTTATAACATCGAAAGCAAAAACTTAAAGATCGGATAAATGATATATAAATCTATAATCGCTACAAGAATGTTACTTACAATAATTTGTAGGTATTCTTATTTATTATAAAGACCAAATTGCATTGTGTTTAAACTTAAAGTAAACATTAACATAAAATTTAACACTTCTAATGTTCCTGTCTATTGCAAAGTGGGAAGCGTGGAACGTTAACTCGCTCTAAACCTTTTAAAGATGTTTTCGACTTTAACAACTACATCATGGGATAAATACCTTCCCTATTTAAGCCTGCAAATGCGAACTGTGAATACTCAGAAACTTCAATACATAAAACGGAAGCGAACGAAGGACTGTTTTTATTGAACATCCACATCCCATCAGTGACGTTCAAATATTGATTTTGCAATAAAATTTAACATTCCTGTTCTTTCCGACAAGAAAACATGTTCTGTCTGTGACAAATATGATACTAATAGTAAAATCGCCAGCGACAGTCTGCTGATTGATTACAGACTTCACGAGGAAGCATATTAATTATTCAGGGGTAGTAGTTCCTACACTCACTGTAATTGTTAGGTATATGTCGAAGGAGAATCGAAATACAATGGTTCCGGTTTACAATTTGATTATAGAACCCTGAAATTTGCACGTTGAATTTGATTAGACAAAAATGTAAACAGCTATTACCTGCTAGGGTTGAGCAACTGTTGAATTTAACAATTGATTTATCGATTGTAGGAAAATAATCGATTGTTTTGATTCATCAGAAAATTTAGACTAATTAGAATAAGTGATTAATTACTTATGAATTCATCAGTATTACCAATTCATCAAATTAATCGATTATTTAAATTAATCAACTATTTCTTTTTAATGAAAATAAATTTATAATCGATTGCGATCAGATAGGTGCAATAAGTAAATTTACTATTTCAACAATTCTAAAAATTATACTCAAAAATTACTTGAAGTACTTCAGAAGTTTATCTCCATAAGGTCGTCAGTCCTAAGACTGGTCGGACACGCACCTCCAGTCTTTCCTAATCTTCGCATTTCCTTAAAAACTAGTACATCCCACATCCTTAATTATTTGTGACGGTAATCTAATCTAGGTCTACTTCTACTCCTCTTAATTCCTGTTTCTGCTTTTAATATATCTCTGACTTCCTCTTCATGTCTGAGAAGGTGTCCTACCAACCTATCTGGCCTATTTCTTATTGACTTCTATAGAGTCCTCTGCTCTCCTATTCTTTCTAATATCTCTTCATTTCTATCCTTCTCTATCCATGATATCCTTTTCATTAGCCTGTAACACCACATTTCTAACGCTTTTAACCTTTTCTTTTCCGCCGCGCCCACCGTCCATGTTTCGCACCCATAGAATACCGCGCTCCAAACATACACCTTTAAAAATCTTTTTCGAATTTCTAAATTAACCGTTCGCGAAAATAGAAATGACTTCTTTTTGTTGAAGACGACTCATCCTTGCCCTATCCTCTGTTTTATATTTCTACTGCTTCTTCCTTAGTTATCTGACTTCCTATATACCGAAAATAAGCCACTACTATTAATTTTCCGACTCCTGTCTCTATATTCGTTCTTTCCCTACTTTTTATTTCCTTGCATACAAGTATTTTTGTTTCACTTTTATTTTATTTATTCAGAAGCTATTATCTCTAAAATATGAACTATGCGAATAAATTACGCAAATCAATAATAGAACCATTGCTATCTGAATTATGAGTTACAAATCGAATTGAATCCCTCTGGAAATTTGTACCGGATTACAGAGCCATTGTTTAATGTTGCAAACTTTGATACAAACAACATTCTACACAAATCTGTCAGATAACTTCATCCAGTTATTAATGCCACAAAATGTATTATCATCGGCTCAGCGAGAAGATGAAATAAACCTAGTTACTATAATTTTCTATTAGTTAAGAGTACCTATATGTATTTATGTTGTAGACAAAGGCCCATAGGTCGGTACTTCGCGGAGTAACTGATGATCTACCCTAAAGTTTGACCAACAGTTTGACCCCGAAATGTATTTAAATGCCTTAGTAAGTCAAAGCAATTGCTAACAATTTTTAATGTAACTTTCTGAAATATCCATGTATTTGTAATAACTTAACTAACAAAAATGATACCGATAAAGGACATTGATTTCACATCATCCAAGCATCTCCAACAATGTTACGTCATCGTCGACGTAAGGGAGACAAACAATTGTCTATTCAACCCTCGTCGAAGTGCCATATCGGGGTAGCGGCCTTCAAAATAATTTCCGTTGAACAAAATGTTTCATTTCGTCATAAGTGGTGTGGACTATTTTTAGACTGACAAAATCTGCTATTCCATTCAGAAAATGTAAAAAGTTCTTTCTAAAAACTCTTACGTCGGACATAGAAAAGTTTATATATAAGCTGAATTGATTACACAGTCTGCTGCTTATTTGAATTGTTCCTACTGTAAGGTCATCATATTAACGTAAGTTCTTGGTGAGTGATCTCTCAACAAATATGTGTCGTTTGTATATAGAAATTTGCTACTCTCTTGTGAATTCAGTAATGTTTGACGAAGTCCTTTTCAGTTAAGGATAAAGGCTGGACTGGAATTCAATAAAAAATAGGCGTAGGTAGGTTGGTAGGACACTTCTCAGACATGACGGTCTAGTCAGAGACATATTAGAGGTAGAAACAGGAGTTAAGAGGAGTAGAGGTAGACCTAGATTACTATTCGCAAATAGTTAAGGATGTGAGATGTTTTAGTTTTAAGATAATGCGAAGATTAGCTCAGGATAGGGAGGAATGGAAGTGCGTGTTCAACCAGTCTGATGACCTTATGATGATGATGAATTTGAGGTTATCTATAATCGGTAAAATTAATTGTTTTGGAGACCATATAAGCAGGATGATAAAAGATAGCGACGCGATTTCTCATTTTTGAATTTGTTGTAAAGAATTCTTTTACTTACTAACTCTGTTTACCTAATTGCGTTGTGATTTATAATAAACAACACTATGCTGTTTTGATTAAAATCTCCTGTTGGGAAGAAGATTACGACCAAAGTTGGAAAGTTTAAATTGAAATAAGTTATGTATGTTACGTCTTAGCCTAAGACGAAGAACCAGCAATTATATTTAAACGAGACTTTAAAGCCTGTTCTCAATCTTCCTAACGATAAAGTTAAATCGTTAAGTTGAAGCAGGTGAGTTGAGCGATTAAAATGTAATTATCGGAAGTCATAATGACCAATACAATTTGAAAAACGCTTTTTACTGTTAAATTTCTTAGAAATTCGTGTGTTTGTAAAGATTTCTTGTTAGTTATTTGCAAAAAATACATTTTCGCGGCATAAATTACAAGAAATTCCTTGGTTATTATTGTTATTATTGAAAAATATTACACTGCACCCCTCTCTGTTTTTCTTTCACCCTGCCAATCCCATCCCTCCCCTCTCCCGTGCAGCCCCCTCCGGGAACCGTTCCGCCCCATCCTACTCCCGGAGCATCCCATCCCTGGGTACTCTCACCCGTTTCCGGCCCCCTATATTTGGGGGCCGTACCGCCCCATCCTACACCCAAGACTAGGGATAAGTCCCCGGGTGGTCTCTCCTGTGTCCGGCCAGCGTTACGGGTCTTGCCCTCAACGCTCCGGGATTGAAAGGCTTCGAATTTCAGAATTCCCTGTGTGAAAACGTCGAACTTCAAAGATTTCGAAGTTTAAAGGTGCCAAGATGCAATAATTTCGAAACTGGAAAGACTGCGAAATCGAAAGAATCAAGATAGAAATGTTGAGTCCTCTGAATCCGAAAATTTCGAAGTTGAATTGTTTTTTATAAAGAAATTCAGAACTCTCAATCTGCCTTGCATCAATTTAACAATTATTGACGCTTCGGAGTCTATCATCATCCGAGACATCTTCAGGATTTTTTCATATCACGCATACATTATCTGAAAGAGAAAATTGAATTCACTAAGAACAAACAGGCTCTTCTGTCTCAGATGGTCCAGCACTTACATCATGGGTGGTCAAGTGGTCCTCTCTGTGACAGTAGACAGGATTTTTAATAACAATGGTCATTAATACTAGTAATTTTTTGAATTGTATCTACAGCAAACTAATGGTTTTACACAAATTATATTTAAGCGATATCGTATTTGATTGGTTCCATAAAAAAACCTTTTTTCCTGTATGGAAAAATTTTCCGCGATTATATAAAAAGCAACAACTGCAGAGCATCACTTGCACGTTCCCCATAAAATACTGTGAAATGTGTAACATTTTCCGGAACTTAAGAAACTTTCAATTGGCTGTTTGGCGCCCGTGTAAAGCTACACCCGAAGGGAAGAGGAGATAAACCTCGACTTTGCCATTGACTTAGAATTTATTGGCGTGTCGACCTTCAAGAAGCTTTGCCATTGGAAAAAGGGATCATTGTGAATGACCTCCAAAGAAAACATAAAATATTGGAGATTTACGGGGAAGAAGTTTTCTACTGTCTGTCGTAGACTCATAAAGGAAGTGAAACCGATCGAATTTAATTAAAAAGACATCCATAAATTCTCATTTTATTTCATTTCAAATGAGAATCGTTCGTTAACACTTTTAATTATAATTTCATAAACCGATGACAATGATGATGAAAACTATTATATATCTATATTTGGATCCGAATATATTTTCGATTTCTTTTGGTTCTCATATTAAGAAATCAAGGTTTTCGATAAAATAATAGCATTAAAAGTTTTTAAAAACTAACGTCTCCTAAAAAACAAAAAGGCAGAAATGAAATGGAAGAAGTATAGTGAGACCTCTAATGTCGCTGATTACGAATCTAAAATCGGCTTTCCAGTTGTTAGAAAATCACTGACTCAACTGTAGATACTTACACAGAGCGGATGAACTAAACGGAGAAACCTCTGCGAATTAAAGAATAATGAAAGGACTGCTCTAGTTCCTTACGGAAAATGTACCATTTGTACCTTGGACGTCCTTACGGAAAAATTCAACTTTGAGAGATCCTATCTTAAAAAGATAGATTTTATTTACTACTAAGCGCCAATTTAATCTTTTGATCAACACGTTGAGAACTACCAAAATCCAAAGTTTCAAATACATTGACAGAATGCCATCTTCCGTAAGGATCTAGCGGGGTCCTTTATGTTAGATATTCGCGAAAAGACTTTTGATTTCGTAATTTCCATTATACCATGACAGAAGGCGATTTTCCGTAAGGATCTGGCGGGGTCCTTTCTGCTAGATATTCACGAAAAGACATGCTATTTCGTAATTTCTACTACACCATGACAGAAGGCCATTTTCCGTAAGGATCTAACGGGGTCCTTTCTGCTAGATATTAGCGAAATGACTTGCGATTTTGTAATTTCCACTACAAAATGACAGAAGGCCATTTTTCGTAAGGATCTAACTGGGTCCTTTCTGCTAGATATTCACGAAAAGACTTGCGATTTCGTAATTTCTACTACACCATGACAGAAGGTCATTTTCCGTAAGGATCTAGCTGGGTCCTTCCTGCTAGATATTCGCGAAAAGACTTGCTATTTCGTAATTTCTACTACACCATGACAGAAGGCCATTTTCCGTAAGGATCTAACGGGGTCCTTTCTGCTAGATATTAGCGAAATGACTTGCGATTTTGTAATTTCCACTACAAAATGACAGAAGGCCATTTTTCGTAAGGATCTAACTGGGTCCTTTCTGCTAGATATTCACGAAAAGACTTGCGATTTCGTAATTTCTACTACACCATGACAGAAGGTCATTTTCCGTAAGGATCTAGCTGGGTCCTTCCTGCTAGATATTCGCGAAAAGACTTGCTATTTCGTAATTTCTACTACACCATGACAGAAGGCCATTTTCCGTAAGGATCTAACGGGGTCCTTTCTGCTAGATATTAGCGAAATGACTTGCGATTTTGTAATTTCCACTACAAAATGACAGAAGGCCATTTTTCGTAAGGATCTAACTGGGTCCTTTCTGCTAGATATTCACGAAAAGACTTGCGATTTCGTAATTTCTACTACACCATGACAGAAGGTCATTTTCCGTAAGGATCTAGCTGGGTCCTTCCTGCTAGATATTCGCGAAAAGACTTGCTATTTCGTAATTTCTACTACACCATGACAGAAGGCCATTTTCCGTAAGGATCTAACGGGGTCCTTTCTGCTAGATATTAGCGAAATGACTTGCGATTTTGTAATTTCCACTACAAAATGACAGAAGGCCATTTTTCGTAAGGATCTAACTGGGTCCTTTCTGCTAGATATTCACGAAAAGACTTGCGATTTCGTAATTTCTACTACACCATGACAGAAGGTCATTTTCCGTAAGGATCTAGCTGGGTCCTTCCTGCTAGATATTCGCGAAAAGACTTGCTATTTCGTAATTTCTACTACACCATGACAGAAGGCCATTTTCCGTAAGGATCTAACGGGGTCCTTTCTGCTAGATATTAGCGAAATGACTTGCGATTTTGTAATTTCCACTACAAAATGACAGAAGGCCATTTTTCGTAAGGATCTAACTGGGTCCTTTCTGCTAGATATTCACGAAAAGACTTGCGATTTCGTAATTTCTACTACACCATGACAGAAGGTCATTTTCCGTAAGGATCTAGCTGGGTCCTTCCTGCTAGATATTCGCGAAAAGACTTGCTATTTCGTAATTTCTACTACACCATGACAGAAGGCCATTTTCCGTAAGGATCTAACGGGGTCCTTTCTGCTAGATATTAGCGAAATGACTTGCGATTTTGTAATTTCCACTACAAAATGACAGAAGGCCATTTTTCGTAAGGATCTAACTGGGTCCTTTCTGCTAGATATTCACGAAAAGACTTGCGATTTCGTAATTTCTACTACACCATGACAGAAGGTCATTTTCCGTAAGGATCTAGCTGGGTCCTTCCTGCTAGATATTCGCGAAAAGACTTGCTATTTCGTAATTTCTACTACACCATGACAGAAGGCCATTTTCCGTAAGGATCTAACGGGGTCCTTTCTGCTAGATATTAGCGAAATGACTTGCGATTTTGTAATTTCCACTACAAAATGACAGAAGGCCATTTTTCGTAAGGATCTAACTGGGTCCTTTCTGCTAGATATTCACGAAAAGACTTGCGATTTCGTAATTTCTACTACACCATGACAGAAGGTCATTTTCCGTAAGGATCTAGCTGGGTCCTTCCTGCTAGATATTCGCGAAAAGACTTGCTATTTCGTAATTTCTACTACACCATGACAGAAGGCCATTTTCCGTAAGGATCTAACGGGGTCCTTTCTGCTAGATATTAGCGAAATGACTTGCGATTTTGTAATTTCCACTACAAAATGACAGAAGGCCATTTTTCGTAAGGATCTAACTGGGTCCTTTCTGCTAGATATTCACGAAAAGACTTGCGATTTCGTAATTTCTACTACACCATGACAGAAGGTCATTTTCCGTAAGGATCTAGCTGGGTCCTTCCTGCTAGATATTCGCGAAAAGACTTGCNATTATTATTATTATAGTTTTTCAAAGAAACTACAATAATTAACGATATTGTTACAGTTGTTTTGATCTTAGCGTATGCAGGGACTTAATTCTTCAATGTTACTATTTCTACGTTTGATTATACAGATTTTACCAACTGCTATTGACTTTACCATGTCGACATCTAACTTTCTTGACAAAATTGACGAGGTTCTTACCATGAGAGAAGGTACATTCGTGAGACCACTGAGGCTTAAGTAGCTTAAGTATGATGTACGCAAAAACTATTTCTTTCCGTAGTTCTCGAACTTTGAGAAAACAAAGATAAACAGAAGCAAGGACTATTAATGTGAAAATTCATTTTCAATTTTTTATCCACTTCAAACAACCTCTTCCCTCTCCCGTGTGGCCCCCTTTTGGGGGCCGTACCGCCCCATGCTACACCCAGGATTACGGATACGTATAAATAATACGGATAAATCCTATAAATCCTAAAAACAGAAGCAAGGACTATTAATGTGAAAATTCATTTTCAATTTTTTATCCACTACAAACTACCTCAGGTTAATGAAGGAAATCTGGAACAAAAATTTTCCCTCATTAAGCTGAGGTAGCTTTCAGTGGATAAAAAATTGAAAATGAATTTTCACATTAATATTTCATATCAACCATTATTAAAAATTAAAAATGTCAAAGAAGCAAGGACATCAGCACGACCGCTCTCACTTCGTTCGTATTGTCTTTTCCTACTCTAATCTTATTGCCCAAGTATCTAAAGTGAAGTATCCGAACATCAGTGACAATTATTGACAAAGTGATCGATTGTCTACTTATATATTCGCTCCCTAATTGCTTATATATTGAAAAATAAAACGCCATTGTATCTGTAAAAACATATATTAGATAACATAGTTTTCTAACAGTCGTCGTCTTTATGTGAAATGCAAAATATATTACCCTTGCATAACTACATTTGTTCCTTTTTAATTGTTTTGTGGAATACTGTTGTTCTCAGGGAAAACAGAGGATCGATTCGCTCACATTATTGTGGACTTGAACTTTCCACTTCGATATTATTACTACATGTTTTATTAGTTCGGGTATTTTCTTTTCTCTTTCTCCAGAGAAATCTACTCTGTTGTAAGCATAAGATTCTTGAAATAATTTATATTCCATTTCGAAACGTCTACGAAGCACTAATATTGAATTATAAGCTTTCTTTCGTCCTTCTATGGGACCTACAACACAAATTAATTTTCCTTCTTTGTGTACCTACACACGTGTGTATGAAATTCTACAAATATTGAATGTGTAACAACCACAAATACAACTGGATATCTAAAATTAGAAAATCGACCCCGATTATTTTTATAAATTGATTAAAATGAACATTCCCAAAGTTAATTACATACGTAAATATTTAAAATAATCGAAGTTCTTAATTTCTTACTAATTAATTTTAAAGTTAAAGTCAAATCTCTATTCTTCTTTCATTTGCGGTTTTTAATAATCGTATTAATTTGCTAAGTATTCATCATCATCATCATAAAGTCGTCAGTCTTAAGTCTGGTTGGACACGCACCTCCACT